GCTGGCATGTGACATTTTTGGAACTGGCAGATCGATGAATTCATGAACCGTTGGGTATAAGTGTGCTGCAGCAAATATTGTGGTGTAGAGTGGTCTTGTTCAGGGTTCCACGCAGCCACGTCCTCTTTCGGGATATCCTATTCTGTTCCCCCTTCTTCCTTTCAAGCAGCAATCGTTTTGCCTAAGAGCCCCGTATTTCTAGTATTCTGCTAGCAAATGATAGCAGAAATGAAGATGGGTCTCGGTGTAGAGACTCGCTGAACCCGAACTGGAAGTTATTTCCAAGAACCCTGGTTCAGTAACCCTGGGCTCCACTCCTCCGGAGAACGGCTAGCCTTCTGGACCTGTGCCGGCCCTCCAGGTGGCTAGCCCTTCTCTCCCAGTGCCTCACCATGCAGTCAGAGATGGACCTTCTCCCAGGTCCCCTCCTGGCGCTTCAAACACTTTCGGTCCTCAGGGTCTACCTGAAGATGGAAGAGCTTGTTTCAAGCCTGCCGACATCTCTCTGACCTCATTTCCCAGGCCTCGCCATCCTCATCCGAAGAGTCAGAGCCACCCTGGCCCTGGAATACACACCAGGGACAGCTGCCTCCTTCCTCCCCTGTTCTGGCATTTTCTTCCCATCCTCTGCCTCACTCTCACAAGCTTGCCTTAACAGTCAGCCAAAACGGGCCTCTAGGAATTCTGTTTTGGGGGGGGGGGGTGTATCCCAGAAATCCCGCCCTTTGCCCCACAGCCTTCTCCAGACCTGCAGTTTCCCCTGAATCTAGTCAGCTCTCCCCTTTGAACATGGTCGTTTCCATCCTGGACATGTCAGAACCTTTGCTGTGAATGTGGCGAATGTGAGTTGGAGCAGAGGCTTGCTGTATGGCTTTCGATGGCTGATAAAAACAAGCTGCTTTTCACTCGACCTGCCTGAGTGGTGGATGAAGGAAAACGGGTCTTGGGGCTGGAATGTGGGCAATGCAGGGAAAACCATCTAGAATATTTTTTGCAGCGGCCTGGGGTGAGAGACTACAGATTGGCTTCTGGGGAAATTGAGGCTGGTTGAAGGCTTTCCCACCTGTTTGGGGTGGCCATCTGTTCTCCAACTCCACCCAATCCGACTGCAATAGCAACTTGCTTTCCCATGCAATAAAACCCCAGCTTACCATGAGTTTTCCTGAAGTCTCCAGCTATCTCCTCATGTTCAATTCACCTCTGTCAAATGTCTCTCCCTCCCACCATCCCATGCTTCTGCAAAGGAAGAATGGAAGAAAACAGTTACTAACGTTGCTGGAAGAAGCCCAGTCTGTTTCTTTGCAGCCCCAAGCTTGAGTTGTATGGAAGGGGAAGCATTAATCTGCCTGCTGTGGTGATAGACTAGCTTGGCAGATGATTTATGGCCCAGTTGACTGAGGGAAAGAGTGCAAACACGGAAAGGTTTGTGAGGTTGGTGCTGTCACTCCGTTCCTTGAGCAAAAGGACAGCAAAAGGTCTCTCGACTCACGAGATTGCCTACAGCTAGAGTGAGGCACAGGAGGAATGAATCGGAGACATTTAGAATTGTTCCAGTGTTAGCATGAGAAAGGAAGTGCCATGTCTCCGGGCCCTTGGCATGAATGTGTCGGCTCACAGCTTGCTCTCCCTGCCCCTCCAAAATCCACCAGGAGGAGGGAGAAGAAAGCCAAGCAGAACCCATGGGTTGCACAGACTATGAAAATCAAACCACACCTCTCCGGTTTCTTGCTGCGGTCCTCCGCTGCTCAGAGCCAAGCTTCCAAAGAATGTTTTCTTCTCTAAAACAAAATCCCACGAGGAGATGAATAAAATGTGGTGTGAAGCAAACAAAGAACAAAATCAAGCACCATTCCCACCCCCCCCCTCCTGTTATAATACAAGAACAGATTCCCCCAACCTGGTACCCTCCGGATGTGTTGGATTACAGTCCCCATCATCCCCAATGAGCAGGCTTGAGACATTTGATATAGCTGAATGGGAGGGGAATCTGGCGGAAGTACAAAGGGAAGAACTTTGTACCACTTGGCAAAAGCTCAAGTTCGATGGAAGCCAACATCTTAGGCCACTTTAAAGGGGGATTACATGCAGTTAAGGTGATGGCGATTGGCAGTCGGCTCCCGAGAATGGCTGCTTGAAGGCACCAGCAAGTGAGGGCAATTGACTTAGTGTCCCGTCAAGGCCTTGGCTGCCCACCATGGGAAGCCAGTGGTTGGATGTGGTGATGAGCATCTGGTGTGATCCTGACTGGGCCAGAGAGACAGGGAACTTGGAGGGGGGAAGAGCAAGATGGCGTGCTGTGGTTGGGATCCTGCATAGCAGCAGGACATGCGCCAACGTTTTGGGGTAAGTCTCATGTGCTTCCCTGCACCCATTTCACACACAGCAAGCTCAAACCCGTTGCATCTGAGCAGAGTCCGAGCGGATGGAGCAATGCCATTTTCAGAACCTCCCTTCTCGCTGTTCCCAACTCAGAATCAACCCTCCAAGTTGCGGAAGGCCAAGAGTTTGGGCAGAGATGCAACATTCCCAAACCATGAAAAAGAGGTTAATGGAAGCGAATTCTGAGCTGGAAGGGGCCCAGCAGGGAAAGGGCTAAGAACAGGGATGAGTGGCGCTGTCATATCGAAACAGCCTCAGGTTCTCAGTTTTTCACCACTAGCTTTGTTCTGTCCTGGTTCCATACAATCCCGAACCCCCACATGGAAATTTATGTCTATCACTGCATGCATTTTCCAACCAGGTTATGTTTCTGTCTGCATGCCCAGATTCACTCAGGAGTATAGGTGCACATTTTATAGAAACACATGCATTTATTTTCCCTTGCATTTTTCAAATGTGTGCATGCAGTCAAAACATGGTTTGAAAAAACTTGATGAAATTCCAGCTTTCAAGCTTGACGAAATGCTGTGCATGGCACTACATGTTTGGAAATACACAGATTTCTGGCCACAAATTACGTTCAGGTCCGTGAAGGACAAACCCTTACATAAAAATACAAGCCTAATCACCTCATTTCACTTCTGTTCCACTTCAGAAGCAAGACTATATCATTTGGACACTCCAAATCCAGGAATATTCCTTTGTTTACTGAGGAGGATTTTGGAAGTGCTGCTCAGGAAGAGAGAGACGACCTTGGGGCCATGTTCTCTAAGAGGGAGCACTGCAGTCGAAGGCACTCCTTCCAGCCAACAAAGCAACCGTCTCTGCTGCCAGGGAAGGCCTCTTGGACCAGACAAGTCCTCAGAGTAGAGCCATTTTAATTTGGGGACGTCACTGAAGAATGCAGCAGGCAGGATCGGCATCTGCTGTGCCAGAGATTCCAGCTGCACTTGAGGCATGGAGTGGAAAGTGGGGAGAGACTGTGGAAGGGCTGTCCAAGAGAATAAGAAGGGAAGAATGAAAACGAAGAGCCATTCCTTGGTCAGTTGTTTCCGGGCTCATGCACAGACCTCTGGTGTCTTTGGAAAAAGAGGTTCTGCTGAGTTATAAGCATGTAGAGAGGAAATTGGAGCATTATAATGGTACAATGGAGCTTTTGTTGTTGTTGCTAGTCACAAAGTCGTGTCCGACCCATCACGACCCCATGGACAACATTCCTCCAGTCTCTCCTGTCCTCCACCATCCCCCGGAGTCCATCCAAACCCACACCCACCGCCCCATGACCCCATCCAGCCCCCTCATCCTCTGCCGTCCCCTTCTTCTTTTGCCCTCAATTGTTCCCAGCATCAGGGTCTTCTCCAGGGAGTCCTTCCTTCTCATTAGGTGGCCAAAGTATTTGAGTTTTATCTTCAGTATCTGGCCTTCTAAAGAGCAGTCAGGGTTGATCTCCTCTCGGGCTGACCGGTTTGATCTCTCTGCAGTCCAAGGGACTCTCAGGAGTCTCCTCCAGCACCACAATTCAAAGACCTATGATGTAGCTAGACCTGGTTTTAAAGATCTACTCATGAAATAGTTGTCATTTGTTATTTGGGGAGTGGGGAGTGGGAAGTTTCTAATTTCATAGATCTGTGAGAGTTCAGCAAGGGGGGAGCCAAAAAAAATTTCCGGACATAGCTTGAAGACTACACAACATCATTCTGGTTTCCAGTCAGTAGACCTCAGTCCCCCCATCTGCAAAATGGGCATCCTAGCAATCTATTTCACCCAGAGTTGCTGTAAGAACAAACCCCGCAGTTCAGTGCGGCTCCCGCACTGTGGCACATGAAATGCGATGGCCCAGGGAAGTATTTTCAGCAGTTCCCTAGACATTCCACACTGCTTGAATCTCTTTATATTCATGTTGAAGATGCATTAGTCGTGCAGTAAGCAAGAGTACTCAAGGTGATACACAATAAAAGCACAAATCAAAGTCCATATAAATCTAGTCAAAAGCAGCTCAATAAAGTGAAGCTAAAGCAACACCCATCACCACCAGATGATGGGGAAAAAATGCCACACTGGGAAAAAAAACGCTATCCAAAAACATAACAGAGCAGGAGAAATACTGTATGTGAAGATTTTTTCCCGGAGTCGAAAAGAGCAGAAGACTTGCTGCTGGACCTTTTCGGAGAGGTCATTTCAGAGTGGATGGGTTGTTCTTGAAAGACCTGCTCTGTGTCGCATCAGGTGGGGGGTGCGCAGAACAGCAGACATCATGGAGGCTGTGCGTGTGTCTGAAGAAATTACCGGCAAGGAGAGCAGCAGAAAAGGTGTTGGAAGGAAAGAATATATCAGTTGTAAATATAATTTTGAAAATGCATCAAGGGGTTGAAGGACTGTTTGGATAGCTTTTCTCTGTCTAATTGTGTGCCTATATTCAGTTCAGCACTAACAATGCATGCTGGGAACACAGGTTTCATTACGGAACATGGAATATCCCTTGTACTTAGGGGCTGTTACTCACCGGCCTACAAGGTTCAGCCCTCAACATGACCTGCTGGATTCACGTGTGCAGCTCATAGGAGACCCAACCAGTGCAGGAAGGACCCATAGAGGGCAGCTTTCTCTCAATCTCCCCACAGGTTGGAGACCAGATTCTGGAGGTGAATGGCAGAAGCTTCCTCAGCATTCCCCACGATGAGGCAGTCAAGCTCCTGAAGTCCTCGCGGCACCTCATCATGACGGTCAAAGATGTTGGGCGACTGCCTCACACCCGGACCACGGTAGATGAGACCCAGTGGATCACCAGTTCGCAGATCGGGGAGACTGTGGTCAACGCATCAGGGTTTGTACAGCTTGCATGGTTTCCTTGAATGGCCACTGTACCTGTGTTTTAAGCCCCACCTTCTTAGGATTCTTGGAGGGACTTCGGTATTGCTGCATTGCCGCTTCCATCTTGGGAGGAATCCAGGCACCGCTTGTGAGGTGGCCAGTGGGCTATGCCAGGCCCAAAGGTACGCAGGGAACCTCAAGGCAAAGTGGGAACTAGAACCTGGTTCTTCTGAGTCCCAGCCCAACACTCTTAATCTCCATACCACACCGTCTCTTTCCTCGGCATGAGGAGAGGTCTTGATGTCTCCAGGTCCATGTTTAAGGTTTTAGGAGCTTGTTTTCCCTTCAAGGGAAGGCTTCAGGGATGACCTTCTAATGCGACTCTAAAGGCCAGGTTTGAGGAAGGCTGCCAAATTTTGTTGAACGCTCCAGTTGGACTGGAGCAAGAGAACAAAATAGTGTGTCTGCTAGGAAGGGAAACACATGGTTCTTCTGAGCAATGCGGCAGGCCAGGGTCACCCCCTTCCTTGGCAAGTACTGCAGGCAGTCCCGTTGCCCTTTGCAATGGAGGCACCTTTCTCCACATCACTTACCCAAAAAGACTCTGCTACTGTGCTGGCCCCAGCGGGACACCATGCAGCCCAGTTTCATCCGCTACACAATTCCTGACTGACCAGGACTGAGCCAGCAGGGGGCCAAATCGGCCTGAACTGATCAGGTCAAGCCCCTTTCTCCAGCAACTACCTACTTGGTGGTTTCCTGGATGTTGCCATTTTTCCTCATTTTCCAAGGTAGGAATTCCTCTCATTAGGCTTCGTTATCATTAATACGGACCGTGAGCGACCATACGCTTCCGAAGGCTTAGTCTTCCCCTTTTCACCCTCAGCCCCCAAGTACTTCTCCTACATTGTGTTCAGCCCCTCCTGCCTGAAAGAAGTTTAATGGATTGTCCACGTCCCAACTATTTAATGGACAGTCCACTTCCATTGAAGTGGACTTGAATAATAGTCCACTTCTCAACTATTATTGTGGAAGACCAAAACCACGCTGGGAAAGCTGCACGGATCAAAGGACGTAACCACCCCCCACACCAAACACTAAAAATAAATACATTAAAAAGCATATTGGATTTGTGGTGGCTTTTGCCCCTTTTTTGCATGAGCAAAAATTGGTTGCTGCCCTTAATTATGGGACACGTGTTCTTATGTCGTTTGAAATAATGATTTAAGGGCACAGACTTTTTCCAGCTTCAGCTGCTTCCGGGACTTTGTGGGGGAGATCCCTGCCTGCTTTGATTTTCCATCTTCAGTTCACAGCTAACGATGCCTGTCTTTGCTCTAGGATCGCCGGGAATCCCTCAGGAGATGCGACACCAAAGGTAAGGTGCCTTCAGCTGGGAGAGGTCCAAGGATTATTTGAGGTGCTTAGGCAGGTTGCAAAACCAGAGGCAGCCCAGATCATTGTCCAATGTCAGTTCTAGTCCCACTGGAGGTAATTAGCATCCCTCAGCCTTTGCGTGCAAACTGCAATTCAGGCAGGATGGAGGAAAAATTAATTTGGCACATTTAATTTGAACTTAACCGATTTCACACTTTCAAACCAATAACTGACATTTCCTTCTTGTGCAATTTGCAAAGCGTATGTCTCCTGATTTTCTCTAGAAATGGTCTGTTAGGAGAAAGTGCATTTCAGATGGGTATACCAGGGAGCATAGCATTAATATCCATTTTGTGGGGGAAACTGCTTGCCAGAAAGAAGCAATACGATGTACAAAAATACTTGGATTATGTCTAGAGGATGGTTGGTCTGAAGACACAGAAAGTCTCCATCATGGCGAAGCTAAGCGAATGTGGGACTGGTCAGAGCTTGGAGGCGAGACCCTCAGGGTACAGCATGGAGCCACCTGGAATTACACCATGGGAGAAAGGGAGGGTATAAATATAATACAGAAATGAATGTATAAGAAAAAAAATGTGTGTAAATTTCCATGCAGAGAAAATATCAAAGTTCAGAATGAATTGAGTTTAAGAGTGCAAAAATGGAAAGCTACAAGAAACTGACCGATTCAGGTAGAAGAAGGAAAAGATGAAACCTGAGATGGATCAATTGCATCAAGGAGGCCACAGCCTGGAGTTGACAAGAGCTGAATGGGGCTGTCAAAGACAGGATGTTTTGGAGGGTGCTTGGTCACGCTCATCTCTGACGAAGAGCTGATGGCACATAAAAGGAGGAACACGAGGCAGAAAGAGCCCAGCTTGAGATAAATGTGCTGATCCAGGGATGAGCAGCTTTGCGGGGTTGTGGAGAATGGCCTGCGCCTGGGCCTTGCTTGCCTGCAGAATTGGCAGTTCTGCTGGGAATCCGGCCACACGGCTGTGGGGCGATCTGCCCCACAGGTGCAGAGACCCCATGGGAGGCGGGCACCTGCTGTCCGTCCCTCTGTCATTCCTAGCAGAGATGTTTGAAGTTTGGAGAAAGATGACTGAATCCACACAATCTTCCTTGATGTCAGATGAGTTAGAGCATGGTTGGTGTTGGTTTAAATGCTTCTGTCCCATGCAAAATGTCGCTTCCCTCTTCTTCAAACGGGGCTTCCCAACTTTGGCCCCGGGAACATATGAAGAGCTGTGATCAGATCAAAGGCCTACCTTGTCCTTCACGGAGTCCTCACGCTAGGCTAGCAACTGCCTGTGGAGAGTCCGCTGGAAGGACATGGGTCTGTTTCAAGCCAGGCGAGATCAGAAGTTGCTCCGTACACAGTTCTGAAGTGCAGTTGTTCATTATGGCAGCTCCTGGGCTTCCACGGGAGGCGGTTGAGGCCCCACCGGTGCGGGTGTTCAAGGACAGGCTGGACGTGCACATGGTGGGCATGTCGTGAGCAGAGCCAGCTGGAGCCGGGGGTCAGACTAGGTGGCCCGGGAGGCCCCTTCTGACTCTGTTTCTCTGCACCCACACCCACAAGAAAACTCTAAATATGTTCAAGCTGCAGAATCGATCGCTGTCAGCAAACTGATTCTGGCAGTTTTCACCCCCAGAAGAAGCAGGTCCTTAGTAAGGGCTTCTAAGCCTGAATTGTCCATTGCAGACCAAGTCACCCCGACGTTCCTTATGGTGAGGCAAAAACATACCGCTCCTAGGAAAATTCTCCCCCAGCTGCTGTGAGGAGTGCGGCTGAACTCAGAGGGACAAAGAAGTCTGGGGGGGGGGTGAAGCTGGAATCTCTGCAAGTGCTGGTTCCACTACACGCTTGCAACGGGGGGGTAGACCACGGGTCCTTCCAGCGTTGTCTGCCCAGGGGGTGGGCATCCCTCAGGGTCTCAAGATCCACTGTGGTTCTCTTTGTGTCTTTTCCAAGAGACCCCAAACCCACCAGTTGCAGTGATATATTTTTTTCAAGTGACTTGGTGGGGTCATTACATACTTAGAGTGAAAGAAGAGTGAAGCCTCTGCCATTTTAGTCCAAGAACTTGTCTCCATTCAGTCTTTTCAAACAGAAATCCTCTTCTGCCTCCTCCAGATCTCTGCGTTTCAACAGCCAAAGGATGGAGGAGGGGGGACTTTTAGTTACGACGGTTGAACGGGGTGGGTTGGAGTCGGGATCTGAACTTTTGGCCATCTCCGCATCAATAACCCGCAGTAATAAGGAACAGAAGGTGCAACTCCATACAAGATCATTTCACAGTTCTGCTCTTCCTCTTTTACTCTTCTGAGATGGCAGCCTGGAGAGAGGAAGAGCATAAAAAGATGGAGCGGCAGAAGCTTGATGGATGGTGAGAGAGTGTCAGAGAGCATTTTTCAAGTGGCTTCTTCTCTGATTAACTGCTTTTTATGGACTCAGAGTTGCAATCTAAGTCAGCTGACGGCTGCTGTGCTTAGCTTGTTGGCGGAAGCTCATCACACGCTCTTGTCCTGTGATTTTCAGCACTCTAGTCCTATAGCATCTGGGACCACGTCTGTCACCTTCATCCCCTCCCTCCCAAACCACAGCCTATCCCAGAGCTGAGATCAGGGCAGCCAACTCGCCTTCGTCCAGAACAGCCTTCTCCAAACTGGTGGTCTCTAGATCATTCCAAGGACCATGTCACATCCCCAGGCATGAGCCTGGCTGGTTGATGGGTGCTGAAGTACAATCTACCTGCAAAGCACCAGCATGGATGATGAACTACATTTCTGTTTATGAAAAGGGTTTCCTTTCTTCTCCTCCTGGAAAGAGCATCAGAACAAGCCCTGAAGAGGAGAACTCTCTATGAAGGCTGGACATCAGGAAAAGCTTCCTCACTGTCAGAGCAATACGGCAGTGGGACCAGAGAGGTGGTGGGCTCTCCCACACTGGGAGCCACCTGAGTGGGATGGTGCAAACTGGTGTCCTGCAACAGCAGAGGGTTGGACTGGATGGCCTTCATGGCCCCTTCCAACTCTCTACTCTTCTATGATTCCATGAACTGTGATGGATGAGACCAAAATCCTGCCTGGTCCATTGTCGGGGTCCCCAGTAGGAGACCCATGGGGAAGAACATGAGCGCACTCATCTTCCGGTGCGGTTGTCACACAGGCCATGCTTCCTCGGATACCGAAGATAATGCCCAGCCCTCAAGCCTGCAGGTCATACCCTCCTTTGCCATGCACTCGTCTGAACATGTGTCTTTCTCCCCCATTTCAACCTTCAGGTTGGTACAGAGCCGTCCAGGTAGTCATTTCCCCCCAGCTTGGATTACATGTGTACACGTTCTGTCCAAGCGCTGAGTTATGTCTGTTTGTCGCCCATTGCTCAGGTTTTCCTCCGTCGGGACCACCTGCAGAGGAGAGCATGTCAGCACTGCCATTCCTAAATTGCTCCCCTTGCCCCGCCCCACGTTGCCAGAGGGCTTCACATCTGCAGTCTTGGGTTGATCCACGGCTTGTGCCCCCAGACATGGCATGAACGATTCCGAATTGCCGGCAGGTGTGGCGGGGCTGGCGCTCTGCTTTCCTCCTCTTAAATGGAATTGGCTGCTGCCGTGCGCAGGTGGCGTTCACTGATAAAGCAGATTTATGAGGGCCTTCCCTTGGCGAGCAGGTTTTGCGCTCTTTTACAGCTTGCCCCGCTGCTGCCTCCAGGGCAGAACTCTCCTTACAAGCCATCGTGTGTCAGGATGCGGAAAATCTGGCATCGGCCTGCCCGCAAAACCGCCACCTTGTGTTGGGACCTGCTTTGAAGGATCTGGCTGCAGTGCTTCCTTGGCTTCCCATCTTTCCAGAGAAAACCCTTCCAAAGGAGTTAAGAAGCCAGGAAAATACTTCTATGGGGCAATAAAGCATGGAAACAAGGCCCAGAAACTGTGGGATAATCCTAAAATTAGAGCATTCTGGCAGAGGGGTAGCTACTTAAATGCCCATCTGTTGCCGGGGCACGAACACAGTGGGAGCAAGATTTTTATGCCATCAGAAGACTTGGCACACCAGTGGGCAACAGTGTGGATTTGGGGCCTGGGCCAGGCAGTTGTAGAGTTGCAGTCACCATATCGGGAGCCCCCCCCCCAATATCCCCGGCTTTCCCCCAAACCCTGCACCAGCCCCAGGACTGGTATAGTTAATTCCCTCTTGCTGGGAAGGAGAGAATTGGGTGCCCCGCACTTTCCCGCCTGCACCAGCTCTTCTGGCACCCTTGAAGCTGCTCTGCCCAGCAGCAACGATCCGGACACGAAAGGCAGCTTAAAAGCATCCCTCACACTCCAAGGGAAGCCAGCAGGTTTTCCAAATTGCTTCCGAGTCACCCATCAGCAAGACCATTTGCCCTTCCTGGTGACAGCCTTCCAAGGATCTCCACCACGGAACAGTGCCTGGCCATACTCTCTGCAGGCTTCATTTTTAACGTATTTTATTTTGGTTTTTACGCACCTGCTCGTTCCCACAGCCTTTGGGCAGTTTACAAGAGATGGGCCGAAGAGCAAGAGCTGCAAGGTTGACCTTGGGACTCTTGGGCCTTCAGGTGACCTGTTCCCAAACTGCTCAGGGCTTTCGAGGTCTGCTGCAGTACCTGGGAACAAACGTCAATGTGCTGTTGGAAGCCAGGGCCTCCGGAGAGGACTAAGTCGTCCCCGTGATCGGGATCTTCACCCTCCAGGGACAGCCTGCCTCACCCACAGGGAGGCCCATGACCCAACAGTAGCACCAGTGCTCTGCAGGCAAACAGTCCCATCACGGTCGCTCAGGGCTGCTGAGAAGTCTCAGGCGGAATGAGGCAAGTCAACTGCTGATGGACCCGTCTTGGGTGTGGAGGGGCCATTCTGGCCGCGTTGGGCTCCATCCTCAGAGAATGAATTGGCTGCCACTTCCTGCTGCCACCAGAGAGTGGCTGCCCCATTCACCAGGCGAGGGGTGCCAGGACGACATGGGGCCGAGTCTTATCTCACGACAGGCAGGATTGTTCCATGAGCAGATTTTAATATATTTTTACAACTGCGGGGACTGATCTTCCTTCAAGGAACCGCTCCTGGATCGGCTTTGCACTGCCAGCCTCTCTTGCGACTCTGCTCAAGGCAAAAGAAAAGGAAACGCACAATAGCAGGAGCAGGAACACCAGAGGCAAATCCAATTAGATGCAATTATAATTTCATTAGTAACTCCCAATCTGTTCTGCATACTGTTTTGGGGGGAAATCATTCTGCGGTGGTTCAACACATGCAAAGTTTGCATTTCCTGCCTTACTCATCTATAACTATTTCTGTGGTTTCTGAAAAATCAGCTGTAGAGGAGGATGGCTTTGAAAGAAGATTAGAAAAATTTGCCCGGTTAGGCCCGCAGGAGCAGCTGAGCCCAAGGGCCTGGAGCGTGGAGCTTTCCTCCAGGAAACAAGGCTAAGGAAAAGCATGGCTTCCAGGACTGCCGCTGTGACTGTTGAGTCCTGGCCAGGGTTCAGCTCCAATGTGTCAGCGCGCTCTGGCTTTGCAAAGCCCACCCGTGGGGGGGAGTCCTGTGCAAAATAACCCTCCTCGTCTTGGGGGCCCTACCAGCCTGCCAGCTCAGATAAGGGCATTCCCAGGAGCTAAGGCGTTGCTCAGCTTCTGCCTCGGGCAGAGTCCCCTCCCCTGATGGAATGGCCTTCAACCATCTACCCGTGGCGAAGCTTCTCCTGGTCGAGCGACAGAGGCTTATCTGAGGAGGATCCCTGCAGAGAGCACAGTGCTGATGCCCACCATGGGTTCTTCCTTCTCCCAAGCGCCGGGGCCCTTGGGACAGGAGAATGGGGAGAGGACACCAAGTGCTAGTGTGCGGGCAGGTTAAATGCTTGGTCAGAACTCGTTAAAGGCCTGGACTCTTGGGCCGAATAGAAGTGATGATCCCTAAAACCAGCTGTGGGAAGTTGGTGGATCTCCAGATGTTGGACTGCAACGCACATCCACCGAAGCCAACACAGCCAGTTGCAAGTGAATGACGGCAGGTGGGATCCGGCAAGATCTGGAGTGGGCCGTAATTTGCCCTCTCCTTCCTGAAACAAAGTCACCCCCATTCCAGATCTTCTGGAACCCTCAGCCAGGGACAAGGCATGGAGCCATCTAAATGCCGCAACAGCCTCTTACCATCAGCATTGGCTCACAGGAGCATTCTGCAGCCATAAGATTGTCCAGAGGCCGAATCTCTCAAGAGCAATCAGCTTGATTTTACCGGAGGGGTGTCTTGCAATCACCACTCCTGGCTTTAATGGCCAGCAGCCCCTCTCCGCAGCCGTCTGTTAATTTCCTTTGCATGCGCCAGGGTGATGTGCTTGCGTTTTTGCTTCGTTTTTGGGCGAGACAAGTGTTTTCTTTAAAAGATGCACAAGTTGTCGTGTCAAAATGAAGAGGTTCTCTCAGGCGCTTAAACACTGCAGCAGATCATAAACTTTTTGCTTTTAGCATTTGAGATGAATCTGAGATAGGAAGGACCGAGAGATAATATATTGCAGAAGATGAGTTTAGGGGCAAGAGAGAAGCGGTGGTTTAGTGGGTGAATACCAAAAGCCCCAGATATAATCCCTGGGCATTTCTGCTTAGAAGGATCGATTAGCAAGTGATGGAAAGATCCCCCTGGGTGTCTTTTAGATTAGGAAACATTCCAAAATGACATTATGGTATGCTGTCTTCTATGACCACGAAAGCCAGACTCTGTAATTTCGGCGAGTGATGCAAACAGAGCTATTTTGCCCCGTGTCTTGCATTGCAGAATTAATTGCTGATTATCCTGGGCAAGGTGAGAGTAAATGGAATGGTATGGGGGCCCCTGGAGATTTGATTTAAGTGGCAATCCTGAACTAATTGATTTAGGAAAAAGTTCTAATGGCAGTTACTTCTGAGTAAATAGGAACACATTCATGCCCATCTGGCTTCTCACATTTTTCTAGGAATTAACCTGATACCTTTGAGCATATCCGCATAAAATTATAGAGGTCAATGTTTTTTTTTTAATTGAAAAATTCTTAAAGCATTTTTCTCAGTCATCAGGACTAGAAATTTTCAATTTTTTTTAAACGTTTGCTGGTAGAGTTCATGCTTCGTATGCAGAAAGTTCCATGCTTGTGCCTGGCATCTCCTGCTTAAAAAGAACAGCTTGTTGCGAAAGATGTCTTTGTCACAGGAGGTCTCATTTCAGTGGAAGTCGTCCCTTTTTTGTGCATTAAAGGCACAGTGCTGAACATCCTTTGACCAAAAACAGTTGCACAATTCTGGGGCATGCTGGGAGCGATCAGCCTTTTTTCCTATCTAAACTTACATAGGATCGAATCCTAAAATAATTCTTTAGAGACACAATAAATGCGATCTAGTAGACAGAAGTTTGCCCTGGAGTTGTCGATATATTGTATGGCCCACTTGGGGAAACGTGGCACTACAAAGGAGCTCATGAATTATCTTCACTGTGCATATTTTATCCATTTATATATGGATGCAGTAAGCATCCTTCCCTCTTCAGAAGTGTTTCTACATTCAGACATGTACGGACCGAAAACATTGGTGAACTGATGGGCTGAAGTTCCTGCATTTGGGTGAAGGCCCCAATAAAGCCACTTCCCAACCCTGCTATCTCTCTGCTCCCAGCCTTCCTTTTACAGAGGCCTGGCAGGATCCCAAGTGACCCTGAGCAGTCTTGTGAACCAGAGCCGTGTCATGCTGGAGGAGCAAGCGCGCCATCTCCTGAACGAGCCCGAGAGGGCCACCATGGGGTACTACCTGGACGAGTACAAGGAGAACAACATCCCAGTCGATGCCCTCGTCATGGCTCTCTTTGAACTGCTCAACACCCACGCCAAGGTTAGATCAGAGTCCTAAAATGGGGCGGGGGAGAGCAGGGGCAACCAATCAGGGTTTGGGGCTCATCCAGGGAAGGGGCACCGTCTGGCTTGATGTTTCGCTCTAAGGACCCGTAGGCTATGTGCGTTCCGCAGAATGGCATCTTGTGTACTTGGATCTGTGGATTTCCCCCTCTGAAAGAGAGCTTTGTATACCAGGATCCCTGATTGTATGGGCAGGGTTTTCCTGAGCTTTGGCATGTTTCTCTATCTTTGGTTAGTCCTCATTCCTGGTTCCTGGCTTGCTGCTGAACCCTCACTCAGGGCGTATCCTCCAGTGCCGACTGACTCGTTGGTCCCGACTATTGGCTGGTCCCAGAGCTCCAGAACCCTGCCTCCCTTCTCCCCACTGACTGCCACGTGCAGCCCTACTCTGACAAGTATGGAGCTCAGTTCAAAGTCCAGCTACCCAGCCAGCAGCTCATAAGCCCAGAGGGACACTGTGGCCTCCTTAGGTCAGCTGATCCCTCCGGCCCACTTCAGGAGAAGAGCCGTAGAGTTCAGGGGACCAGCATCCTCTGCTTGAAGACCATCCTCAACATGCCACGTCATACAGAACTTAAGTCCAGCCAGTGCTGGTTGACCGGATGGCCAAGGTCTTTCTGTACTGAGGGGAACAGGAAGAAGCAAACATTGCATTACGTCTTTCTAGGAAGTAGAACGGTCCTTTAAATTTCGGAATAAATGAAACCGCTCATATAGTCCTTGATGTGACAGGCATTTGGGGGGATCCTTTGAAAAAGTCCTATTTATTCTCTCATTTATTTATCTTCTGCCCCCGTAGCCCACAAGCTCTCTGGGTGCCTTTACAATTATTAAAATCATAAATACCATACAGAAAATGCTCATAAAAACAGTGTAAGCAACATATTCATAAAATACTGTAAAACAAGCAATATGGCAGACCACCAGCATAGGGCATGGCCGAAATTTAAAACCATATTTAAAAATGGCTCAGCGGTAGGACACACAGGCTCACTATTAAAATATATAGAAATAGAGAGAGTTTGCACCTGGCACTGAGAAGAGATAAGGGATGGTGCCAGGCACACCCCTCTGGGGAGCATGTTCCAGAGTTGCGGTACCACTGCTGCAAAGGCCCTTCTCCTGCTTGCCACCCCCTTCGCTTCTGTTTGACGGCTGCAGGGGGGATGCACGAGTGGATGATTGTAGGAATGTGCTTAAAGACACCGCTCTATCCGACGCTTGTGCAGGGCGCCCCAGCGCTGCGTCTGAAAGGAGCAGCAGCCCAGAACTTCTGGGGAAGGCTGTGCTGGCAGGTCCCCTCAGCCTTGGTGTCTTTTCTCCGCAGTTCTCACTCTTGTCCGAGGTGAGAGGAGTGATCGCTCCCCAGGACATCGACCGCTTCGACAACCTGGTCCTGAAGAGGGAGATCGAGTTCATGAAGGCCCGGCAGCCCTCCGGAACAGGGACCGGCACGGACTCCTACTCCGTGATGTCTTACAGCGACACTCTCTCCTCCACCGGGAGCCATTTCACTTCTACCACCGTCAGTTCTGCCCGGGTAGGTGTGCTCGTCTCGGGCCCCCAAAAGTGCCATGGAGAGCCGCTGTGGCTGGGCTGCTGGGCTGGGACTTGGGGGATCCGGGCCTTAATCTCCCCTCAGCCGTGAAGCTCGCGGGGTGACGTTGGGCCAGTCCCGGAGTCTCAGCCTAAGCTTCCTCGCAGCGTTGTAAGCTGTCTTGGCAAGAGGAGGAAGGATGGGCTATTTTGCTCCACGGTGCAAACAGTGCAATAGACGCTGATCTTGGACGAATGATGAGGCCATTCCAGTTTGGACAAGCCAACTCAAGCAGCAGGGGACTCTTCTATGGGGCAGCAGCTTCTGCTTTCCCGGAAGGCGGTGGGTTCGCTCAGGGGACACGGAGCAAACGGCTGCTCCATCTCTCACTGTCATGGCCTTCACCATTTGGACTGGAGGGTTAGTTGAAGCTTAGCTGAGACGGATCACAGTTCTGTCTAGTTCAGCGTCCGAAGCCCACGAGTGGTCCCAAAAGGCCATCTCTGCCAAGCACTGGTTGTCCCGCAAGCCCACACGCTGGCTAGGTCTGGAGGTAAATCCAAGCCTGAAGGATCTCCCTAGCTAACAGCCCCTGACAGACTTCTCCTCGGTAGGCAATCTGTGCAAGAAGCGAGCCGATTCGATGGCTCTCGCCTCCCCCTTCTTTAAACCGATTCCACTCACAGGCCTTTCTCTTCCGCACTCGGTGTGAGAACGGGCAGAACACAGAGATGGGTTGTTTCCTCTCACCTCTGACAACTTGCTCCCACGTCCCCCTGTGCCCTTGCAGCAAGCAAGCGGCACTGTCACATTATCTCAGAGGCCTCGCCACATGCCCTGCTTAATCAGGTTAGTGCAATTGCTTCCGAATGTGCAGGCTCGCAGCTGTGAAGCCAATTCGCTGCCCATAAAACACCTTTCATCATAAACGCATTAGCAGACTTGGAAACCAAAAGCCTCTTTTAATCTGCGGAGGTTGCTCAAAGGAAGGCGTTGCTACGGGTGGTGAGATAGAGGGGTGTGTGTGTGTGTGTGTGTGTGTGTGTGTGTGTGTGTGTGTTTCCCCCCTTTCTGGGAATGTGAGGTTGAGATGCAGTGAACTGAGGACCCTCTCTCAGAAATATTGCTGGTTTCACTGCATCTCTCCTGCACCCCGATAATTATTTGTTTAGAATGGGGGGGAAAGCATCCTGCTAGATAAGAGAACTGGTCCATCAGGCCGGAATCCTGTCTCCCACAGTGGCCAAGGCAGTTCACTAACAGAGCAGGAGTTCAGTAACCATCTCCTGCTGTTATTCCAAGCAGCTAGTCCTCCATGGGTATATACTGCCTTTGTCTGTGGAGGTTGCATGTAACCTTGTCTCTAGCATCCATGTATAGACTGGTCCTTCCTGAATTGGTGTAACCCCCTTTCAAATACCACCTAGACCTAAGGCGCTCACCAAATCTCGTGGCAGTGGATTTCATCTATTACGTGCACGTGCAGAAGTATTTATAGTTCCCCATCCTGAATTTCCTGCCAGTCAGTTTTGTTGGTTCACTCACACACCTCTGCTCCAGGTTCCAGTATAAAGAGAAACGGGGGGAAATTTTCTCCTGGCCCCTTTTCCACACTGTGTCACATTTCTGCACTGGTTGTTCCATGTATTGCTATAGCACCCTTCAGCCAAACTGTTTCCCAGCAACCAGAGAAACAGGCAGAGAACAACAAAGTAAACAGAATAAAATGAAAAGGAATCCAGTCGCAATTTGACAAAAGCTATGCTGCAAAATATGGTAGTGCTTATTCTTTTTCATAGTGGCAGTTAAGAGAAAAACAAATGGAAGAGACAGATATAATGATGGCTTAGATGGCCATAAAGGGATTATTCATGGCAATAAAGTCATGAATGGTTGCATATGAGGCTGCATATTACCTCCAGTGCCGGACACGGTGAGCTTTTCTGCATGAGGCATTTATGAGCTTGTCATCCCTTGCTTTTAAGTAGTTTAGATTATCTTGCAGTTTCCCACTTTCGCTACTGTTCATGAACACTGCTTTCAATGAGCAGGGAACATGGGGTGTTATTTCTGATGGCAAAAGAAAGTGTGGTTTCTGCCTGTGCATTTGCACTACTCTGCAGTGCCACCTAGAGGTCATCTAGTGAAAAAGCAGGAACCAAGCACTACTGCTGTAGCGCTTTCTGATTTCAGTTCTGTCACCACCAACAAGGCGCTGCGTAGAAAAGCTCAATAGGTCACTGTAGGTCAGCTGACGGGGAATAAGGAGGAGGTCCTGTTGCACGTATGGGGTGCTTCCATGGGCACGTCATTGACTCTGTTGGGAACAGGCTGTTGCATATTCTTTCAACACACGTGGTACTTGTTCCTCTTGCGGGTCCTACCCAGCCTCTAACATATTTCTCTCCCCAAATGCTTTATCGCTTCATCCTCGCAGGAGCGGCTCTTGTGGCTAATTGACCTCATGGAGGTAAGCAGCTCTGAACAGGTACTGTTGCACTTAAACATCTGACGGTGAGATACAGGGAGATTCGGTGCACTGGAAACATAAGGCCAGCCTCGATGTGACATTTGTCACTTAATTAGTCCTGTGCAGCAGATTTTCTGTTGAACCAGTCCCTGGTGGGGCAGAGGGCTTTACCCTTGCTATAGCTCAGGCTCATGTTGTGGGGGTGGGGGGCAGAGATGTGGAGGCATCTCCTACCTCGTAGGTCAAGGTGCGCTTTTGGATGCATGCTGGCCTAGCATTCACACTTTGCTGCCTTACTGAGCCCAAAACAGCTTCATAAAATTTAGAGGAATCTGAAGGATAACTATGTTCTGAAAAGTGTATTAATCCCGCAGTGCAAACTGGAGCTGGTTGCTTTAAAAAGGCCCCCTCGACAAATTTGCGCGGCTTTCCTCACCTGCACGTGAAACCCTCAACCTATGAACAGCAGGCATGGCTGCTAGAAATGTTTCCATGGGAATTTCTTTTTCTTTGCATGGTGAATATCTGTAATAGCACCAATCTGTTCCCGTTCTCTTGCTGAACGGTTTGCGCCGCTGATGGAGGCAGAGTGAGGAATCCCACGGGAAACAAGCCCCTTGCTGCTTGCTCTCGGTGCCCGACTGAATGAATGCAAACCATCTGGTCAGACCTGTTTCTCATCACCTCCCTGCTTAATGACTTTGCAGGTCACAGGCAGGTCCTACAAATGGGCGGTTTATTATGTATGATGCTAATTGGGAGCAGCTTTGTCTGAACCTGGAGCTGAAGTGATATCTAATTGGCCTTGAGTGGAACAGGCCTCAAAAGAGGTTGTGTAAAGATTTGCCCTTCCTTCCTAATCCATTTTTTTTTTTTTGAAAGCTGCCTAATTAGAATGCTTGCCAATGCAAAAATTCCCAATATTAAAAAATACGTTTTAGGAACCTCACAAGCTGCCTTATACCAGGTTCAAGCAGGGCAGTCTAGCTTTTTTTGCTCTATAGATGAATTTGAGAAACTATATGGGGACCCTCCAAAGAAGGGCTAACCAGTAGATCCACATGTTGGCATCTACCTGTTGTGTCGATGGACTTCAGTCCGCCTCTTCTTTAGTAATAATATTCTTGTCATCCCTATTGGACAGTGTCCTCTCTCTTTAACAAGGGATTGCCTAATTTAGCTAATTTCCATGAGTGCAAGGCTGTTATTGCCTCTCTTAAAAATGTTTTGGCACTGCAGGGAAGCTGCTTCAGGGGAGCTCTTTGCCACTCCGCGTGCTTCGGGGCGTGCAAACGCTCGCCTTTCTTTTTGTTGCATTGGCAGGAGGGGGCTGCCATTTGCTGCTGGGGATAGAAAGAGTCTGTTGGGATCCCAGGGGGAGTAGATCATTTGAGATTCCAGCGTTAAGTAAGTGTAGATCACTAAGGGTTGCTGTTCCTATCTGGAAGCACCCAAAGATCTTGCGAAAGCACAAGATGCGGGGATCTTGCATCCTTCCTTGTGCCTCCGGCAGGAGCAGGCGGTTGCACACAAGAAAGCTTGTTATTCCAGATGGGGTACCCAGGGAAAGCTGCTCCTTCATTTCCTGCCTCCACAGGGGGAGAAACCATGCCTGCCAAAGCTCTCCCTGCCTTGTAGTAATTCAACAGCCATAAAAAGCACTTAAAGGCCTCTGTCCCTGGGCAATGCTGGAGCTATTAGCATTCCTTCTCGGGGGAACCATAACAATCTCGGAATATCAGGCGCGGAGACCCCGCACAGGGTTGCTCCACTGCTCCGAGAAAAAGCCCAGCTCAACGGCAGCCCCTGAAACCAGCGCTTGGTCTTTTCCTTGTTTGCCGAACACCGGCCAGATTAGAGATTCCGTGGCTGCAGCCGGCAAAGACAGCAGGGCAAAGGCCTGGCATTTCATCGAGTGCTCCCAGCCACAGCGAGAAGCAGCTTGTTCTCTCCGCAGAGGAACAAAAGGTTCGAGACCCAAGGATGGGAAAAAGAAACAGGCTGTTTCCATGCTGGGTCACGTTCATCTGTGTCCCCTTCAGTTTCCTCGTCCGTCTGCACTGCATGGAAACACACCTTAATTTTCATGTGCAATTTCCCTTGAAGCATGCATGTTTGCATGAGTGATCCCCTAAGGCACCCGTCTGTGTGCCGTTTCCCTTAAAACAGGCATTTGTGTCCACTTCACTGCAGCCAAGCTGCACGGAATCTCAAAATCTGGAAAAGTGCACCGACCGACGGATAATTGCATTCTAAGCTGTGTATTAGTTCACTCCAAAACATGGGCTGAATGCAATTCTCCCCCATCCATTTCAGAGCAGGACCTGCTGGCATTTGTGCTTGCAGCTCCACCAGGGAGATAGCTGGAGGCTGTAAGCATATATGCCATTATTAGAACATAAATCTTCCCCCCGAATTTAGCAGGACTTGCTTTCAAGTAGGGAGAAGCACAGGATCCGGCCATGTGGGCCTTTCATGCTCTTGCTCGGTACAATTTCTTTCGCTCGTTTAAGAATGGATATGCTGCCTCTCCTGAAGGAAAGCTTGCTCAATGCAGCTCACTTCCAATGCAGTAAATCTCGAAATGTTTTTGGGGTGCTAATATATATTTAGCCTTCTATTAAGAAGAAAAACAGAGTTGATTCCTGAAAGTCGGAGACAACCAGGGGCACAATGCTATGCCCTTCACGATAGCCTCTGGAAGGTCATGCGATGGCGGAGTCCCAGCTTGCAGCTCCCGTGATCTCGCAGCCGGACGTCTGAAGGCCAAGCGTCGGCCTGGCATGAAGAACGAGGCGTGGCTGACTGGGGAACTGCATGGGAGGACTGTCTGTTCTGATATGCTGCTCCCGATCCCACTGCAACGCACTTTTTCTGTTCCTTCGTTCTAGAACACATCAGACTTAGAAGGAGGCCAGAATGGGAACCAAAGCAGCGTCAATGCTCTGCCGGACATCTCCCTGGTAAGCTGCATCTTGTCCGTCTTCATCTCCTCCTCTCAGTAGTGCTCTCGCCATCCCAGCATCGTAAGAACCTAACCAGACCCATGTAGGGAAACCCAAGGACCTGCTGAGTCCGGCTTTCTCTTCACGCACTGGCCAAGCTGCTGCTGTTCACAGGAATCCACAAGCAGGACAGGAGTATAACAACATCAATCAGTCAATCAATCAATCCTTTATTCAGTCATGGGCCAGCAAATAAAATCCAAAATTACAATTAATTAAAATACGGTAATTCTAAAATTACAGTTAATTAAGATAAGGGGAAATGCATTTATTCTAATAAAAGACTGGCAACATTTAGAGTTGATTCTAGGTCAGGAAGGACAGGAAGATAACTCCCTTTTGCTCAAGTTTCCAGCAACTGGTGCAAATTTTCCCTGCTCCTGGAGGGAGCACACCATCACCAGGAGTGGAGCTACGGAAAGACTTCTCCGTGAACTGCTCAGCCCCCCTTTAAAACCTGGTGCTCATCACTGCAGCTTCTGGAAGCGAATTCTGTTGTTCAATTATGCACTGGGTGAAAAAGTCCATCTTTTGATCTGTCTTGAATCTCCTGCCTGTCAGCTTCCTGGGACGACCCTCCCGGGAGCGAGTATTATGGGTCAGGGAGGAAAACATGTCCCAAACTATTTTCATCTCACCCGGCTGAATGTTGCGTGCCTTTGCGGTGCCTCCTCGACTCACCCTTTTCCTAAACGAAACAATCTCAGCGGTTGTCACCTTTCCTCACCGGGGACTCGCCGCGGCCCCCTGATTGATAGAGTCAGTCACCCTTTTCCGCACCTTCCCCATTTCTACAAAATCCCTTTTTAGGTGCGACAACCAGAACAGCACCGGGTATTCCAAATGCGCACAGATCTGTATGTAAGCACAGGAGGCTGGTATTCGGAGCAGGTGATCTTGCACTGTCATGTTCATCTCCTTTCCTGATTTTGCTTGGTTCGGGTTGCCAGACAAGATGCCGCAATTCTTTGTTTTGACATGCAGGCGTAGCATTTATTCCCACGGATACGGCGGATGCTGGCTCCTCATCTAGCATTCATCCTACAATTTTGTCTTACATACAAGTCTACAGAGCTGCAGTTTTATTCTGTCGGTATTTTTTTTCCAGTAGTCTGGAGTGTTTATCTAGCTGGATGTTGTGCAGACTAGAAATAGCAGTGGGCATTTGTGAGCCAGCCTGGCGTGGTGGTTAGGAGCGTGGGACTGGGACTCAGGCGACCCGGGTTCAAGTCCCTACTCAGCCATGGAGCCAACTGGGTGACTTGGGGCCAGTCACAGACGCTCAGCCCAACCTTCCTCACAGGGTGGTTGTTGTGGGAAGAAGACGGAGAGCAGGAGGAGGAGGAGAGTGATGTAAGCTGCCTTGAGTTCTTTAAAAAAGAAAAAGGCAGGATAGAAATCTAATTTTAAAAACAAAGGAGATGGACTGTCTTCATAGACTAGATCAGAGTCGTTCAAAAAGAACTTGGGCAGCCCTCTGAGTGGGGTGGTGTGACTTGGTGTCCCGCAACAGCAGGGGTTGGACTGATGGCCTCCATGGCCCCTTTCAACTCGACGATTCTGTGATTCTAGGAGGACAGGACATTTTGGAGGTGACTGACAGCACATAACAACAACCACACCTGACATAGCTGAGGAATGTGTTGTCATTCTGACATGACTGCAAGGAACCTGCCGTTTGCAAACCAAAACTCCAACTGGAAAGCAGAATTCATATCTTTCCAAAGTTCACAAAGATACCCATGTAGCCAAATGTCTATGGACTGCCTGTGTCTATTTTTTGTAGAGAAAGGTCTGTGAAGCATGTGTCCATTTCCAAACGGGTGCATGGAAATGCACTTATCCAGGAGATGTGCACAAAAGCCGCTTTATTCATTTGAACGTTGCTTTTTGAAAATGCACACCTTCCTAAAACTGTGCCCAAAATTGTGCCTATTAAGATGCTCCTCCTGCCCCATCAGAAAAATGCACATATTTTTAATGCAGATGGAAAAGCAGACACATTTTGGGGGGGTCTGGGCAGGCGGTGGGTGCAGGGAGAGAGAGAGAATTCACAAAGATGTGGAAACAAGATGGAGCGAAGTAAAAGCAGGCTCCTGGCATATTTGGCAGTACCGGCTCACCGTTTCTGTCCCGGCTTTTCTCAGGACGATGTCTCCTCCTCCCCTGACGAGCCTCCGTCGTTCAAACCTCCTGCTCCCACGCCTTCTCCTCAAACCACCACGGACCCTTCCGGCCCGCAGGACCGAGCAGCAGCAAAGGACACCCTCAAGCGGCCATCCTCTGAATCGTCTCAGTCGGGCCTGTTCTTCGTGGCCCCCCAGAAGTACACGCTGCCTCCCGGCCACGCGGAGAAGGACTCCAGCAGCGTGGGTTCCTCCTCCTCCGCCACCGCCACCACATCCTCCCCGGAGGAGCCCGTCTCCAATGCCATCTATGCTTCCGTCTCCCACGCTTCCAGAAGGCCCTTGGATGCGCACCTGCTCCTGCTCAACCAGCACCCCATCGGGCCGTTTCCCCGGGTCCAGTCACCGACCCGGTTGAGGAACCCCTCTCCGGAAGCCATGGTCCCCGGCTCTCTCCCAGCCCCCAACACGCTCTCCCCTTCCCCTCCCCCGCCGCCGCCTCCGTCCCACCCGGCCCCTCCCCCTCCCCACGGGAAAGGTGGCCCAGAGACTGGCAGTGGCCGGCACTTTATCATGGTGGAGGTCCATCGGCCCAACAGCGAGCCGGACGTGAATGAAGTGCGGTCCTTGCCCCAAGCCAGAGGTGAGACGGTCTCCGGAACGTGTGTTGGCTCGGCCGTTGTGCAGTCTGTGTCCCACCTTGCGGTGAAGCTCACACACCGAAAACAAGATAAGCTGGATGAAATGATCAAAAAGAGCTGAACTAAAATTAGCAGGCAGCTATGAAAACCACAGAAAGGGGGTAGGGGTTAAACCAAGCTAAAAATGTGCAAATTACAATCCAGCATCAAAGACAGGAACCCGCAAGCTGGTTCCACTCACAGCACGCTGATTCAGTGCTCACACAGGGCCAACCGACTGAAATTGTGCAAATGCATGCACAATTTCCACCCTGCTGAGAGTTGCCCGACATGCCCCTAAATCAGAGAAGCGGCAGGGAGGCTGAGAGGACACTGGAGGTGACCTAGGAGCCCCGCAGAAGAGAATCACCTTGAAAATCAACATGCCCTTTCCAAAACGCTTGCCTGCATTTTTTTGTGTCATTCCAGGCCGCCTTTAAAGGCCGGCCTCTGTCAGCCGAATGATTGAAATTTTTCTTCTGTTGTCTTCTGCCACTTGCTTTTAGCAGTGTATCTCCCTGATGGAGTGGCGTGTAGGAGGAAGAGACCTCTCCCGGCTGCTTCCTTTTCCTTAAAATACCTAACCTCATGTTTCAGCCTCCCTATGAACCCATCTTGGAACAAGCTCTTCATCTGCTCATATAGCACTAAGCACAGAAAGAGCAGAAGGGGCTTCAGAGGGAGCAGTGAGGTTCAAAGCAGCCCTCTTCGGCACGGTGTCATCTCCAATATCTGGAGGACAATCCCGTCACCCCCAGTCAGCATGGGAATTCCAGGCAAGCACATCTGGAGGGGACGAGGTTGCCAGCCCAGGCTCCCAAGCCTCTACCAGATGTTTCTAGGAAGTACAGAAGTGGGACGGGGAAGCTGCAGCCCACCCTCCAAGTTTGCCACCCCAGAAGCGGTTACTCAAAAGTAGGTGGCCTCTGTTTGGCTATGATGGTCAAATCCCCCGGGGGAGGTAGCGACATGCTTAACTGACCTAACTCTTGTGACCATAAGAAGGGCCTTGCTGAGTTAGAAGAGGAGGGCCAGGAAGGTGCTTAAGGGTATAACCCCTCGCATGTTTAGACACAACCAGAGTCCTACCCCAGCTCTCCAAAGCCCACAGCCAGCTTTGCATAGGATTGCACGAAACGGCTCCCTGCCTGCAATCCTTGGAAGGTCAAGGGCATCTGGCCGAGTCCAGGAGTGTGGGATCCCCCTGGCCCTCCAGCAAACAATTTCAGACACCGAGATCTTCTGTCCCCGCTCACAAGGCGTGGGGTGGAGTAGGGGCCAAGGGGCCGCCTGGATTCTTCGGAGAACACGGGGGCCTGCCTCCCTCACCCACACCTGCGCCAAAACTGGGCAGCAGTCATCACAGAACGAACCTTGCCAGCCGCAATGCACACGGCAAGGCCGCCAGGGATGGAGTCTCCACCGCAGCGCCTGAGGACTCTTCCGAAGTTGCGGCGGTGACTTGCGTTCTTCCTAGGGCCAGCCAAGCAGCACTTACTGGCCGAGGCGTGTGCCCTGGGTCTCCTTCACAGCTGTCCGATCCAGAGCCCATCACCCCAAGGCTGGGGCAGCAAAAAGCATTAATTAGCAGAGGTGCAGAGGGCACGGCTCATCTGTACTATGAGAAAGAGGGATGACATTTCTGGGCCCATCAGGGAAAGGACTTTAAAAAGTTCCCTGCCGGAAAAGCAGAGTTCTGAAGTGTCCCCCTGGTGGCGTGTTTGCTTACTGCACCCTTGCCCCCTTCTGCCTCGTTGATTGGGTTTATAGCCCGTGCTTTTTCCTCTTACAAGGAACCCAAAGAAGCTTGCACGGTCTTCCTCTATTCTGCTTTGTCCTTACAACACTCCTGCGAGGTAGGTTGGGCTGGGAATCAGCGACTGGCTCAAACTTACCCAGCAAGCTTCATGGGGACTCAATCCCAGGTCCGCATCCAAAACTGGAGCCGCTGCACCACATCGAATTCACAGATCTTTTGCTTCCTGTGATGAGCAACCTTTTTCTTTGCTTCCATGGTTCTCACGGAAGAGAGATACGTAGCATAGAAATGTTCTAATAATAATAATAATAATAATAATAATAATAATAAAGTAGCATGCAAAAAAGCGACCCTCCAAGTGCCCATATGCAGTGGGGCGGCCTTGCCTTCCTTGGGTCAAAAACTTCCTGATCCAGCCCTGCCCCAAACATGCCACTTTTCTAAGCAAAGGGAGGGAGTCGGGAGGGAGGAGCGTCCAGTCACATGGACCCCACCTGCAGTCTGAAGTGGTACAGTCCAGACTAGAGAGCACTAAATCTCTCCATTTCACATTCTTCTGCATTCATTTTTAAAGGTTTTAGCTCAAGGTCTTTCCATTCCACTTAGGAAGCTATTTATGAGTTCTGCTGAACGCTTAAGGAAAAAGGGAACAAATGACTCTTAACTGGAAGATGTGGTTTTCAAAATCACTGTAGAGAAAACTCCACCTCCACCGTGTGAGAGAGTGTGTGTGTGTGTGTGTGAGAGAGAGAGAGAGAGAGAGAGGTGGGGGTGCCAGAATGTCATTAGGGTGCAGCGGAAGAGAAAGATCTAAGTGATCCTGGAAATTTCACCCAGTTGAGTTTCAGCAATTTCTGCCACTGGTCATGGTCTTGGCAGATTTTTCCTATCTGGATCAATGGCCTTAAGATGCCTGAACATGGCAAATGGAAGATTTTGTGCTTGGTGGCTTTATAAAGGGCTAAGAATAGTCAGTACTAATATAATTAAAATTTTCCAAAACCTGATCAAGGTGGTGAAGGCAGAGCTGAGCAAAGGGTGTTATTATTTTAAACATGCTATTATTTTATTAGTTTTTAAACATTTTTTCTCCTGGTGCGCCCACCTTCCTCCTTTCTTTATCTACAATAAACATTTCTAGCTTGGCATTTTCCCTGCAATGCCGAGGCAAGGCAGAGAACAACAATCCAACCCATATTACACGCCAATAAAAAGTTTACGCATGCAAATATTCAGCCCTCGGCTCTGGAGGCAGCAATGAATCTGGAAGAAGATTGCATGAAGAAAGGCTAAGACAGACATTTCCTTCCCCAACAGGGACAGGAGAACTGAAATCCGATGCCAGCCCTGGCTCGTGTCGATGGCTGGAGGGCTGCAGCTCTTCTTGGCAGCTTGTCCCGGGCTGTGCCTGGCTAATTTAGGTTCTCGTGCGGGGTGTGTGTGAAGGAGTGCAGCTTGTTCCCAAGGCTCGGTGTGTGTCTCCCCCTGACTGGCTTCTCTCCTGCACCGTTTTCCTAACAGCCCTTCTCCCGTTCTCACCCAGCCTCCACACTCTCCCAGCTTTCGGACAGTGGACAGACCCTGAGTGAGGACAGTGGTGTGGACATTGGGGAGATGGAGTTCAGCGGCAAAGAGAGAATCCGGCCACAGGCTCCCGTGCAAGGCCGGAGCGCCCCAGAAGCCGCGAGGGCCGATGGGCCAGCAGACACAGGCCCCAAGCCGGTAAGGCCCCTCCCTGGGGGACCGGTTGTGTGCCACTGCATGGAAGCGATGCTCGCTCGATGTGCTCGCAGTTCTCTGGGGAATCTGGGGGCTGCCTCGGTCCTCGATTCTCCCTGGAGAAGCTGCGTCTGGGGGCCAGGCTGGAGATGCCAGGAGGGCAATGTTGAGCCACGAACGATCGGGCCGCCAAATCTTGCCAAGTCAGGTTGGGTGGCTGAGGGGGGACCTTTCAGTGGGAGAAAGGCGAGGGGCTAAGCGGATGCAAATTCACAGATGCAAACTGTTTTTCTTCCATAGCTTTCTAGTGCTTTGAAAGGGAAAAGTGGCCAGGAAAGGGTGGGCACCATCCTAGGCCACGGCAAAGTCTGGCAGATCCCGGCTCACATCTCAGAGACGAGACAGGCTGGCCAGCCACCCCCTACAGCATGCTCTCTGTGGAGCTGCCCTTGAAGACGGTTCGGATACTTCGTTTGGTCCAGAATAGAGCTGCCAGGTTACTAACGGGGACCAGCAGATACTCCTAGATCATGCTGGTCCTATACAATCTGCAGTGGCTGCCAATTGACATCCGGGCTGAATTTAAGGTGCTGGTGATGACCTATAAAGCCCTAAATGGCTTGGGACCTGGACACCTGAAGGAGCACTTCCTTCCCTATTTGCCTGCCCACCCCTTGAGATCTGAGGCAGAGGTCCTTCTCCGGGAGCCCTCCTTGAAGAAAATTAGGGGGGGTAGCTACCCAGAGAAGGTCCTTTTCGGTGGTGGCACCCTGACTGTGGAACAAGGAGGTTCACCTGGCACCATCACTTTATTCTTTCTGGCATCAGGCAAAGACCTCTTTATTTTCCCAATATTTTAACAGTTAATTGGTTTTATATTTGATTTTATTTTTAATAAGTTTTATTTGAAATTATAATCCTAAAAAAACTAAGAAAAACTAAAAACAACATCAATCATCAAAAGCATTGGGCCTGCTGGGTCAGCCCTCACACCCTTTTCTTTCCATTTATGATAACTTAAAAACATATAAAATCTATGCAAAGTCCCGTTTCTGTAGCCAAAAATAAAGAGAGTCCCAAGTTTGATAGAAGTCAGTATCTTCATCTTTGATTTTATATTAACGGCCAGATACAATGTATTGTTTGTAGTATGTGGTTGTTTTGGGGGGGGTTTTAGTGTTTTGTAAGCCAACCAGAGACTTTAGTATTGGATGCCATATAAAAAAACGTCTTTAAATAAATAAATTGCCAGGTGTAAACTTAATATTTTTGAGTGCGCAGCTAGAAATGAAATGTACGAACCCAACAACTCCATTTATCGCGCTGGGACAGTCATTGGGTAGCTGAGATGACGAAGCAACCACAGCATTGATGAGTTTTACTGCCATTGCAAGAGGAAGCGAACAGTGCTAAGGAGAGGAACGGCCACCAGAGGGCAGCAGAGACCAGGTTTTTAAGCTCTCGAAGGTTTTTCTGACTAGATTTTCTCGGAGGTGACGCCGCGGAGCATTCTGCACATGCCTAGATGGCGCTCCGCACTTGCAGTGTATCCGTTTTTGATGCAGCAGCGAGACTGCTAGATGGGGAGGCCCTTGAGCAGTTGTCTGGAGGTGGGTTTGGAGCAGATGAGGCACAAAAACAAGCACTGAGACTTCATCCATCCAAGGTTGGAGGTTCTGTGAAGAGGCAAAGCTGCACTTTTCCCGAAGAAGTCCACAGTGTGTGCAAGGCGGAAGTACAACTGATGCAGCCAGTGTGGCCCTCTGGAGACAGAGGCTCTTGCCCCGTCCACTCCTGCTCCAAGGACATCCATCCTTGACTGCTGTGGGTCTGCCTTTGAAGACAGTTCAGAAATGCAGGTGTTCAGAAGTGCAGGTACCGGGATGCAGGCGGGGGCCGGGCGGGAGCTTCGTATGCGCCAGCAGTGAAGGTTGACAGTGGTTCTGGACCCCAATTTCAAGTGTCGCTTCAGCCAGCAGTGGTTTGGACCCAAGATGCAGAAGGACCACCTGCCCATCAATAGAGACCTTTCTCTCTTACCTGCCATCAGGGGTGGCTAGACTGGTGGGAAGGAATCAACTTCCATCAGGAGCTCCTCAGGTCCCATCTTTGCAGATCTTTCAAAAGGCTCTGAAGTCCCACCTGATTTTGCCGGCTTTCCCATCATCTCTGGGTTGCAGGGTTCATAGGTGCAATTTGGTGTTTGTTTGATTTAGCTTTTAATAGTATTTTATTCACTATTCATAGTATTTCATTCCCTATTTGTTTATGAACTTATGTTCTCTATTTATGAACTATATTTCATCTGGCTTTTGTTCTGGGCCATGCCTTGAGAGGGCTTTCCCACTTAAAACCATACTGAAAATCCCTTTCTTATGTAATAAAAATTACTACAAAAAAAAGAACCACCTGAAATTGCAGCATAAAAATATGGAACAATCACTTCACGTGTCCCATTTTGATTTGTCCTTTCTTTTTTTTTCTTTTTTTGGTTTATTTGCAGCAGAATGTTAGCTTTTCCCTTCCCTGTTTGCCCTCACAATCAGTCTGTAAAAAACCCCTTAGCCCGGTTTTGAGATGGAGAGAACTGTGGCTTTGGTCCCAAAGATTCTCACCAGGAACCAAGTTTCATTTTAAGGTAGTGAGAGAGATTCTGAATAAATATTTATTTTTTTATTTATTTTTTTAATTGTAGGCCATCCGTTACTGTCGTCTCTGGGCGGCTTACGACATTATTTCAGACTTCAATAAAATAAGATAAATTAACTATTCCACACTGAGCATCATTGCAAGTAAATTAAATAGGTCGTTTCACAATTAAAATTACTACGTGTTAAAATACTGGCCAAATAAAAAGGTCTTGACCTGGCGCTGAAAAACATAATGACGGCGCCAGGTGGACCTCTCTAGGGAGCGCATTCCATAGTCGGGGCGCCAGCGCAGAGAAGGCCCTCCTCCGAGTGCTCTGTCTCCTGACCTCTTTCACAGAGGGTTCTCGGGGGAGGGCCTCTGCTGCCAATCTTAGGGGGTGGGAAGGCATGTAGGGAAAAAGACGTTCCTTTAGGTGTCCTGGGCCCATATACGCACAGGATCCAGCAGAGGTCAAGCGGGAGATGCGAGCTTCATGCCTTGGTCAAGGGTCTGGATCCAAGTCCCTCATGCCCAGCAGGACGCCTGCTTTCTGGTCGTCTGCCCCACAGCTTGACGGTCGCCCTCTGCTTCTTCTGCCCCACCCCAGCCAGGACTCCTGGAACCGACGTCGCACCTCATCCGTGTGGCAAAGAGCGCGCCCACCCTGGGCATCGCCATCGAGGGGGGAGCCAACACCCGGCAGCCATTGCCACGGATCGTCACAATACAGGTAAGAGGGTGGGGTGAGGACCACGGCCTCCCATCACAGAGAAGATCTTCTCTGGTGCCAGAGTGCAGGACGTGGGATAATCAGTTCAAGTTGCAACAAACCAGATTCAGGCTGGACATCAGGAAAAGCTTCCTCACTGCCAGAGCAATGCGGCAGTGGAACCAGCTGCCCGGAGGGGTGGGGGGCTCTCCCACACTGGAGACCTTCAGAAAGAACCCGGAGAGCCACCTGAGTGGGATGGGGTGATGTGGTGTCCTGCAACAGCAGGGGCTGGACTGGATGGCCTCCGTGGCCCCTTCCGACTCGACTCTTCTGTGATTCAAGTCAATGGCACTGCAGGCCATGGGCTCTCCAGGAGGCGGGTCAACCCCTGAGCCTCATTAAAGGCTTCCGGAATGTCTATCCATCAGTCTGTCCTTCCTTCCTTCCACCCACCCGCCAGTTTAGAACTGCCCAAGAAATGCCAGGTTTTCCAACCAATATTCACACAACTTTTAAAATAAGCACAATCCCTGTTTGCTGATGGGATGGTCCACTTAAGCCAAGGCAGAGATTGTCTCAATTTTTCAAGGGGAGTGGGACACAGAGGGCCCCCAGCAGGGCTTCCCATCTGCGGCCCGGTCCCACACACATGCGTGCCCTTCATCGCCTCTTTATTCTCTCCCGGGACTCCAGAGGGGCGGCTCTGCCCACAACTGCCGGAAGCTCAAGGTGGGCCACGTGATCCTGGAGGTGAACGGTGCAGCCCTGCGAGGGAAGGAGCACCGCGAAGCGGCCCGGATCATCGCAGAGGCCTTTAAAACGAAGGACAAGGACTACGTGGATTTCCTTGTCACCGAGTTTAACGTGGCACTTTAGGGCTGGAAGCCAGAAAACGCCCACCTGAAGCCCCGCAGCACATGGAGGGGCACCCCCAGCACGAGACGCGTGTGGGCCGTCCTCACGAACAGGCTTTGGGGTGCTGCAGCGGGAAGGTGGCTCCTTTCCGAGAAGGCCTCCCACGGAGAGCAGCACCCCCAGACGGGTAAGCCTCGTTGGGCGGAAGAGGAGCAAAGCGAGAGCTGCTCCGGTTCATCGTCCGTTCCATCGATCATCCTTGCCTGGTTGGTGAATCGTGATGTCGATGTCCCATCTCTTCAGCCGCCTGTCTGGAAACCTCGCCCGCCCTCTTTCTCCCCTTCCCCTCACATCTTGTGGAAGCATCTTGCAACCGCTTCAGAGCAGGAAGGGGTCGGAGCCGTGCGCCGAATGCCCGAGCATCCGATCTCAGAGACTCACCTGGAGTGAGGTCCCTTCACTGTCCTCACACATACACAGTCGGCAACAGAAGACGCCTTGTAAATGGGCTGGCAGAGTCGCTGTATTTATACACAAAGCAGCTTGTGCTTTAATTTTTCAATAAAGCAAACACGAGCAAAATGTGGTTTGCATTTGTCTAATGGATTGCTTTAAAACGTGTATAAAACTGTCATCTGTTTTTGTTTTAATTTGATTCATTACAAGTGAACAGCAAAACCATAAAAAGTGTGTATCACTACAAAGATACGAATATATAAAGTGTGCATAGGTGTCAACGAAGGCAAACTTCCGTATCTGTCCACCGAGTTGCAGCATCTGTGCGTTCAAATATAAGTGTTGTTAAATCCTCGATCCATTTTTCCTTCAACTGGTATAATATCTGTCTTGCAGCTGTCAAAAGGGCACAGAAAATCAATTCACATTAACTGCCCATTATCTTCTAGGAAGCAGGTAGTTAATGTATAAGAATGTATGCATTTGTAAATATTAATGTTCCAGTGCAAGGTTTGTTTATATTATACCATCCTAAAAAGAGGCAGGGCATTGCCAAATCATTTGATTAAAAGAAGCAGCACTTAGCCAACACGGACTCCCCCTGATCAAAAAGGCATTGTGGCAACCCATAAACCCACAGGAAGAGTTGCCCAGAATAGCACGTAATCCAAACTGCGGGTGATGAAGTGAAAAGCTATCGATTAGACATTCCATTCTTGCTTTAGAACCAAGGTTTCGTATTGATTCACAGATGATAAATATTTGGGTGGAAAAAACTCCCCAGCCCCAGTGAGTATTTCCAACAGCAGAGAAGATGTGAAACCGTAAGACCAGCGGGGCCAAACACAGATTTTGACGTGCGAATGCTGAAATGACAGAAACTTAACAACTCCCACTTATTGATTCAAAGTAATAAAAGCTTTTAACAATAAATAAAATAAATAATAACCCACTTATTTGTCCAAGTTCACCACCAAAACATGTTCTTGTCCATATTAAAAACCTGGATTTCAGCCTCAAATCTATAATCCACACCCAAAAATGGATCAAAATGCAAAAGGCTATATTGGCATCCACTTATCTCTAGTGACCGTAATGGCGAGAGAAACTGAATCCATTCTGATATTCCTAAACCCCAGTGTGATCCATTGGGGAAAAGGTGGTCAGGTTTTGAACTGGTGACCAGAACCGGCACAACCATCAAAATACTGGTCCGGAGGCCGTCTGGAGTGCTCATTCTCCAGATAGGCGCCAGCTGGGAGACCAGAGCAATGAGTTTCATTATTGTTCGGTTTCCTACTGGTGCTAGTTTGGTTCTTGCATCTGGTTTGTGCAATCTTGGAAGTTTGCTGCCTTACGTTGTTCGCTCCACCTTTGCTGCTCCTGAATTCCTTCCAGTTAATCTTGCCTCAGGTACTTGTGGTCGTCTTGGTTCTTGACCACCCGCTTGTTCTTGTCTTGCTCTGCCATGTTCTCCTGAACTTTGACATGTTCCTGGTAAGACCTTGCCCCTAACTTGACTACCGGACTTTGGACTGTGTTTTGCCTTAGGGTCCCTTGCCCAGGTCCCTGCTCCACTGTCTTGACTTCTGCTGCCCATGAGACACAAGGATCCACCCAGGAAGACTAGAATATTGGAAAATCTAACCCAAGTGGGAAACACCAAGCGTTAATATGGCTCAGCAAGTAGGCTGAATTCTATTTGTAAGGTCCTTCCTCATTGGAAAGCTGCTTCCTTTCCAAGCATATATGTGGTTATAGAGAGATCTATGCCTTAATTTAAAAACATTCTTCCAGTTCATTCACACTCTGGCACATGCTTTGAATACAAGATGCTTCTGGCATCCCTAGGCTGAGAAAGTCTCTGGTCAGAAACCCCAGCAGATGGTGACTGGTCAGTTGCTGAGCTGGATGGGCCAGGCCTGGCTCTGCCCAAGGCAGGTCTCGGCTCTGTCTCCAATGGGAAGAGCCAAGAATCACACACCCAGCCACCACGGTCAATACATTGCATTTACCCCACCGGTCAATACATTGCATTTACCCCACCTTTCTTCCCCTTGCAAGGATCTTGAGGCAGCTTGCAAGATTCTCCTCTCACCGGTTTATCCTCACAACAACCCTGTGAGGCTGGTTGGGCTGAGAGTCTGTGACTGGCCTAAAGCCACCCAGGGGACTAGAACCCTGATTTCTGGAGTCCAGCCCAGTGCTCTTAACCACTGGACCGCTCTGGCTCTCAAAGGGAGCTTCAACTACAGCTAACTAAAGCAGGAGATCAGGGTTTGGTTATCCTTTTCACAGAATTTAATGGAACAGAGTCAGAGGTGGAGAGAACCTTAAACACTCGAGGGTGTGAACCGCTGCGCAACCTCTGACTCAAAAGATGGGATTCCCTCTCCTCAGTTACCCCCCTGCTCCAAACACAATGCAGCAAAAGCCCCGACTTGGAAGATTCACAGGAGTGGAAGTAAGACCTTATTTTTAGCTATGATTAAGTGCATGAAAATGGGCATTTTATAAAAGCAGCTGGAAACGAGGCCCACAAGGCCTTTCTGTATACTACAGAGCCGGGAGTGGGTAAATTGACCTACATGTAACACAGGAGTTTAATGTGCTGGAAGAGGAAATGAAGCTCTGGGAGAGAGAAGTCTGGCAGAATTGGGGACTTTTAAAAGCTGTATAAAATGTATTTTATATGCTCACTCTGCAGAAGCCTTAATTTGCTTTCAGCCCAGAGAATCTTAATGAAAACAAAGACATACAGCGGAAAAATAAGCACTGGGACAATTCATTTTTGATGGGCAATAAGAATGAAGCAGCAATCTGCATTTTTCCTTTATTCTCCTGCAGAATACTCCAGTTACTGGACAGTGAAAGAATAAAATACTCCATGACATCCGTGCCCCTTTCCTCCTCTTGCAGAGAGTGTCCAAGTTCCTTTCCATTTTATTCCCACAACAGCCCTGTGAGGTAGGTCCAGCTGACAGTCCCTGCCTGGCTCAGAATCACCCAGTGAGCTTCATGGATGTGTATGGACTAGAACCTTGATCTCCAAGACCCAGTCCAACATTCTCACTACTGTGACTCACTGGTTCCTGAACTCTTCCATGTTGTTTTGCTAGTCCAGACACGCTGTGTACTAACTTGAGAGGGGTGGCGAGTTACTCCAGCCCCTGGGGGGTCCCGCTTGCTCTTTCCTGTACCTTAGCCCGGGGAGTTACTCCCGAGTCGACATGGCCAGAATCATCTCACGCATCCCGTTAGCCACACAGCCCTGTAATTCCCAGGTGCTCTGCAACGCCAGGTGGAGAGAAGAGAGCGCTGAGTGGCGTCGCGGGCGAACTGATCTCCGCCCCGAACCTCTTCCAGCTGATGAAATCCGCGGCAAAATTCCTGAATCCCAAGGCCAGCCTCCAGCCGTCCAGCTGCATGCTAATGACCCGGCTCCCATTGGAGGAGCGGGTGGCATTATGCAGATGACCCTGCAGGCCCCTCCTCCGCCCGCCCCGCTCAGCATCAGCTAAACTATTGTCAGCCGCCAACTTGCGACTCCAGGAAACTGACCCGGAGGGCGCGGGCTGCGCTTGGGGATCCTCCGCGCCCTTTCTCGCGCTGCAGCCGGAGGACGGGCAGGAGACGCCTGGCGTGGAGAGAGACCAGGGGTGGCTTTCCCGCGGGCCAGGTGAGCGCTCCGTTCCCACGGGCTCCCCCTCTCCCCCGGTTCCCCCGCGCCGCGCCGCGCCCCCTGCCCCTTTCCAACCCCGTTTGTTGCGGCGGGGCAGGGGGACGCGCGCCTTCCTTTCCTCCTCCTCCTCCTCCCCATTGAAATGCGGGGCTTTGAGCCCCCCCCCCTCCCTCCACGCTGTTCTTTGGATCAGAAAATCTCGCCCCTTGCAGAAGTGGGTCCGGTTGGTTCCCCGGGGGGGGGGGGGGCGTTTCGTTCCTGGGCGTCTGGTTTGGGATTGCGCGTGACTTCCGAGAAGGAGACGGGCTTGGCTCCTCTGCTAAGCAAACTTTGGTGGGTCTGTCTCTGAAAACCCTCGGCGTGAAGCTCGAAGAGCGCTGCAGCCTGACCGGCGACCTCTTTGCTCGTGAGAAGCCCGCTCTGTGCGCTGGGCTGCCGCTGGGCAAGCGGGCTCCATGAGGGTTAGGAGCGTGCGCTGCCTTTTGGGCGTGGTGCGCGTGGATGCGCGGAGGGCTTTTCGCGTTACTCGGGGCTGGACTCGAACCTGCGGTTGCTGTAGTTACATCTCCGAGGAAGCGGAGACCGGCATCGCCGGCGGAGAAGTTTTGTTAGTTGCGAGCTCGCTAAGCAACCGAGAGGGACACTCGGGCTGGTGAGTTAATCTTGTAAGAGGGTCAAGTTTTCCCTTCTTAGCCGCAAGAGGAGGGCTGCGGGAGGGGCGGTGGGGCTGGCTGGGGTCTGGCCTGGGATTCTGCACGGGCTTACTCCGGAGTAAGGCCCCGTGAAGCGCGTGGGGCCTTTTCTCGATCGGCCGGCAGCGAACTGCGTTTGGCACTGGGCTAATCCTGCCCCCATCGAGGTGCCTCCGAAAGACGGCTTTTGG